TATCATGTGACCACTTGATCATCTAATGCACTTTATGTCTGCTTCATCGTTAACAAAATCCCAGATTCATAGTGTAGGTCAAAATACTACTAATTTGTGCTGCTTTTAAAGTGACTATTATTCAGCACAATATCTTCTCATAAATTTGTTTCAAGTAATCCAAGTGTGCCTATACTGAAATTGAGTGTAAAATTCACCTATTAGACAGTTTGCTTTTCATGTTAAGAAAATCTTGTTAATTTTTTTATCATTGACTTTAACACTGGGAAAATAGTACATAGTAAAAGAAATGAGTCGCTATGAAATCTGTGGTTTAATTCTAGGTATTCAAACACCATAACAAACTGTGGTTTACATGTTTACTTCAGTATTCTCTAATAAATGTAAACTTTTCGAAATGCCCTTACCACAGGTTGCCAGCTTCCCTGTTATATACATGATATTAGTCTGCGCATAAAACTTTATCAGTCTTTTATGTTTATATGGTTGGATGTCTCCCATAATCCCTAGATGATAAAGTATTTTTCTATGTGACATACGTGAGGACACCATCTAATAAAGTTTTGTTACTAATGTTACACTTAACATTTAGATGAGGACTGTTTATTTGTCTGTAAAACTCCTAGTTAATAATAAAAATCCCCATAAATTAACACTGACAGAGTTATGCTACACTTACTTCAGGTTTTAGTCAGTAATAGCAGGACTAGTCTGAGGCATCCAGAAATTACAATATAATTGAAGCTATCACTAGTACTTCCAATCTTTAGAAATTTTGTAGTTCTGAATAGCTGAGCACTTATTAATATTGCCATAAAAAGTTTAGTCATGTCATTTCACATTTTCACATACACAAATGTTTCCTTTTAAAAAATGTTGCCAGTGGGCGTATGTACTAGCAGAGAGAGACAGACAGAGAAAGGAAAGTGAGGAAGCACCCCTTTCCCTGCATTTCTTTCTTTGAGATTCTGGGCGCACACACACGCTCAAGACCTGGTGTGTTTCTCAAGCTTCGGAGTCTGGGACTCAGGCTGGATAGTCAACTGTGTGGGCTGCATCTGCCTCGCCACCATGCCACAGACTGGCCCCACAAATATTTCATTTATGTTAATATACAGTTGACCTCATTAAAATGTTCTGTCTGTGTCATGACAAATGAAAACATATATCAGCAAATGCAATTTCCAGAGACCACTAAAACTTTCCCCTCAAGCACTTGGTACAAGTTGATATTCCGTGTCACAGACATAACAATACTTTTCTGTCCACAGTATTTATTATAAAATGGGGAAAGTCAGGTATGGTGTTAAACATTTTCTCATAAAGACTTCTTGCAATAGAATGCTGTCAAGATGGAGAAGCAACTAGAAAGACATAATAGCTTAAATTTTTACATATGAAATTGCCTCATCTTTCTTCTGTAATATGTGGTGTCAATGATAATGAACACAAGAGAAAAATATAAATCAACCAAATGAAATCAAACCGAGATAATTCAGATAATATATAAGAAGTGAACATTGCCAAGATCCTTCTTAATACACACAATTTACCCAAACAATGAGTAAAAATTCAGAGGAAAAGTACATGCAATTATTTTTTTAAATGTGATGCATATTGTTATCATCTTAACTACATACACACATATATACAAACATACACATGTATACAGATATATATGTACATAACTATGTCATATGTACATACATGGATCTCCACATACACATCAATATGAGGATACCTTGAAATGTTCACGGGAAAATGGGCTTGAAATACAAGTATATTTGGTTCAAAATTTTCAAAACCCCATGCATAGTTTTTTTCATATTACACATTTGGGGACACTTCATATTTGAATCATTTAAGTAGCAATAGCCATTGATGTTTCTTTTCAGGCACTGAACGCCTCTGAAACATTGTATTATAGAAATATCTCAGTCACTAGGTTTACTAATTTTTTACTCTTGAGAGATTTTTGATCTAGGGTACATGCACTCACCAGAGAGACAGAACCCAAGAAATCACCCACTGGGGGAGTGATCACATCACAATCTTTTCTCGCTATTCTCCTTTCAGGATTTTGGACATGCACACACATGTGCCCCTTGTGAGTTTGAAGCTCCCAGGACCGGGACTCAATGCACAGTTAACTACATGTGGTCTGAGCACTTTAAGCACTATACCATCTCCTGACCCCATAGGCTTACTAATTCAATTGTATACACACCATTACACTCAAAAGACAGATTTTTTTTCATAAATTAAACCCCCTATATAAATTCATACAAGAGACATAATCTGGATATTTGTAATATCACACTCCTTTTCTCCACTAAATCTCCTGAGAGTTTGACTTTTGATTTTTCACACATTCAGATAACTTACTTTCTGTGGCTCATGAATAGAATGTGTTAGGTTTTCCATTTAGTAGAGAGTAAAGCAATGGCCTATTAGGTGAAGTAAGTTTTGGTTATAAGGAGATGAAGCAGCAACTAAATATATGCTAAAAAATTTATACTGGTAAACATGACTAAACCCCAAATTCTATAACATACTTCTATTTTTTTTTTGAGGGGGGAGAGGTTTTTGCCAAAGGACATGTGTGCTCACCAGAAAGAGAGATACAGAGAGACAGATAGTAAGAAACCAGCCTTCCCCCCCACCAAGGGAGAATGGCCATGCTGCAATCCCTTCTCTATTCTCCTCTTGGGATCTTGGGCACACCCACACATGTGCCCGGCACGAGTTTGAGCCACCGGGTCTGGGACTTGAACTGCGGTCGACTACATGGGAGTCCAGCGACGTAGCCATTACACCAACTACTGGTCCACTCTATAACATATTTCTTTTTTTCTTTCTTTTTTTGGAGAGTCTTTTTGCTATAAGGTGCGTGTGCTCGCCAGACAGAGAGAGACAAAGAGACAGAAAGTGAGAAATCTCCCCCTGGGGGAATGGCCATGCCGCAAACCCTTCTCCTCCATTCTCCTCTTGGGATCTTGGGCACGCACACACACGCACCCAGCATGAGTTTTAGCCACTGGGTCCAGGACTCAAACCACTGTCGACTACGCAGGAGTCCAGCGACATAGCCATTATGCTAACCGCTGGTCCGTCTATACATATTTCTATAGCCAAAGCGTGAGCCGACCTGTGAGTGATTGTATTTTCTTTGTCTTTTTTCATCTTGATTATATAATACTAGTTTAGAGAAACTGAAAGGCTTCGGTTACTAAACATTTATTTTGGCCAACAACAAATGAAACTACAATTTTGACATTGGTTCCTAAAACTAAAGACAGGAAATCAGAAACGGGAAGCGCCTTTATAAAGAAAGGATGTAGAGACATAAAGAGAACTGAGGTAAAGCACATGAGTATGTACAGAGAAGGATGGTTAAATTTGAGCACTGTCGATTGACTTGACGGTTCTTATTTATTTTACGTTCAATCCCTGTGTCTCATTACAGCATACCAAATTAATTTTCCCATAATGAATACATTGTATATTAGTTCAGTCAGAGATATTATCACATACATCATCACCAACAGATAACTTTCCTTTTTTGTGTTTCTTAAATGTTTGATGCTTCCTTTGTCAGAATAACTTCATTATTGCTATAGGAATATATTTTAAAAACACATGAATCTAATACGTCTACATGTTGAGTGTGGGAATTAAGTAAGTATCAGAAAGAGTAGGAAAGAGTTTCCTTATGAATTTTAGTGTTCTTGATTTTTCATTCAGGTAAAAGTGATATCTATTATTAAATTAGTAACAAAAATTCAAGACGAAAATTTTGAGTCCATACTATTGAAGACTATGATAAAAATTTCAAATATTAGTGAAATAGAAAAGGGATTTCTGTTGAAACGTATCTCTTTATGAAATTAGATTACAATGGAAAAATCCATAGTGTTAGTTGTAAAAAAGAACATGGAGGCTATGTTAATGTGGGTGCCACATGTGTCTCGATTATTACTGCCACAGTACACAGTGTTTCATCATGGTCCACAATGCTGGATTCCATGTGTACAAAAAATTGACAGTTTAATATTTCTAAATAAATATTGTAATAATCTGAATATTAATTTTAAATGAATAATTATCTTGCATGACTTTATTGTACGTTACTGAATTTTAATAAGAATGTTTCCTTTATCAATATGTGTTAGGTTTTACTTTTTTCCATTTATTTGTTTTCCTTCTTTGAAGAAAGTAGGTATATCATAGATGGGAATTGAGCAAATAATTATGTCCATATTCAACTAGATGTGTGTGTGGGTAAGGCAGCTAGATCCCCCATGGCTGACTGCATGGTCGGATTCCCAGAATGAAGGATCCAAAAGACAGAACAAGTGTGTATCGTTACAGCATGCCAAATTCATCTGGTATCTTGCGAGTGTCATCAAGGATAATCTGCCTACAGACATGTTTGTGCCCAACAGGAGAATGGAGAAGAAAATATTATGGCATGACCATCCCCTTTAGGGATTCCTTTCTCACTATCTCTATGTCTCTCTCTGCCTGTCTCTGGTGAGCATATGCACCTTCTAGTACATTAAAAAAAAAAAAAGTCAACATTGCAATTTGAGGCACAGGTCACATTATGATTTTTTAACAACATATTTCCAATTTCCTCTTTTTAAAAAGTTGATCTCACAATTTTTGACTCCTCCACTAATAACACATATTGGAAAGGAGATGAATTACACATTATAATAAATTGTTTAACAGTTATAGCTCATTATGTCGTAAATCTACATAAAATTTTAAGTTTCATGTGGGAATTTCAGTTATTTTTATGAGGCATATTTTTGTCTATACTAAAAGATATTTTATAATTCAGAATAAGGAGCAGATGAATAAGGTGTGTATGTTATCATCCTGCTTGTGAAAAGTCCTTACAGAACTGAATTTGTAAATCCACTGTCTAATAAGGTCAGGGTCTTAATTTCTCGTGACTGTATACTTTCTCTTCAGGAACATTCGTTATCCAGGTGACAGCCAGCGATGCTGATGATCCTTCAAGTGGCAACAATGCCCGTCTTCTCTACAGCTTACTGCAAGGCCAGCCATATTTTTCTATTGAACCAACAACAGGTATTTGTGGATGAAATGAAGTGCAATTCTAAAGGAAGCAAATGTCAGCTAGAATAAGCTGCCTACAAACATGTTTTATAGTAGACCTGAGGTTTCAATAAGTAAATGGGTTGTAGTTCTTAAACATTTATTTACTTTTAGTCTTTTTGCTGAATTTTCAATAAATAGGTTATAGTTCTTAAACATCTATTTACTTTTAGTCTTTTTGCTGAATTTTCTAAGCTGAGAGATTGGATTTTCCATATCTAGATCACAAATGATTTGTGTTTGGAATATGAAACATATGGAAGGATTCTCATAAATCAATTAGAACGAAGAGAGATAACCTAGTTTAAAAATATAGGGAAGAGAAAGACATTTACAAGCTATTTTAAAAATGGTATAGGAAAAGAACTGCAAATATATTAAAATTCTTAACTTCATTAATCATCAGGGAGACAGGTGAAGACCATGATGAAATGTGCCTGCGTGTCCTACCAGAGTGACTGAGGTTAAGTCTGAGGACAAGGCTGGGCATACGAATGGGTATCAGGCATCACTAGAAAAACTTGTGTTTCATACATTTTTTATTTAGATGAATACAATATTTGACTATTTTCAGTCAGTTTCTCTAAACTGCATTGATCAATTGAATACTTTAATAAAATAAACACTTAAAGTATTATTTATAAAATAGATATAGACTTTTCTTTTTTTACAAGTCATATTAGATTGTCAAAAAAGTCATGTCATGTTTTTCTATGTTTTTCTATGCAAAGACTGAAAATTTAGAATAGTTGAAAACAAAGTAGCAAAATTCATTAAAGACCTGTAGAGAGGGAACAAAGACCCCTCGATTCCTCTTACCTACCGCTTGACTAATCTGTCCGGCTTTGGCTATGTATATCATGCAGAGCGCTAATATTATTCTTTTGGTTCCATGAAACTCCGTCCATCCCGAGTCACCCGTGGACTGCATAGCAGCATCTGAACCATGTATTCAGTAGTGTTTGCACTAATAAGTATATTTGAGTCCACTTGAGGAACAGCGTGCACAATTAAGATCACTTCACAACATGCTGCAATTTCGTCTTTTTTAAAAATAGATACCATGTTTTAAAAGTACATTATTTGACCCAGATATACTGAGGAATTGGCCTTTTCCTTTCTTCTATTGATGTCTGTCTGTTCCTCAGGTCTTTGAGTTGCTTTGCCCTCTCCTCTACATCCATCCTGGCTTTTTCCTAGGTTCTTTTCAGTGATACTTAACTAATACATACAAAGTATTTCATAGATGATGGACATTGTAACAGTTATCGTGATCGGTCTTGAGTTTGAGTATTTGTGTGTGTGTGTATCGCGATTGCTAAGTTAGGAATAATTGGGAGTCAAAACAGATCTTCACATCTCGTGAGTCAGCGTAGACTTTAACATCACAGGTACACAATGTTTTTTGCATATATTTGGGATTGTAATGTGCACATTTTCCCATAAGGAACTAACTTCTTCAGAGTTTGAGGGGAAAGTTAATTTTAGCACTATATTAAATTAGAGAAGACAGCAGAACAGAGATTGCTGTAAAAATAAGAAAGTCCTCCTCTCTACCAGTAAATGATGTTACATGAGCATGGCAGTTCAAGGGCCTACCAGTGTTCTCACTACTGCAATGGCCACTCTAGACTTTAGGCAAAGTTGGTGTTTAGTCGTAGTAGTAGTATTTTCTAGGGTAATGTCTGATGCATTTTCAAAATTTATCAAAGAAATGATCGTATGGTTTGGTGGAATGCTTCCAGAAACTTACTAGGCAGATGTCATGGTTAATAATAAGGTAATCATTTAAATCTTATTACATTTTAAAGGCGTCATAAGAATATCTTCTCAAATGGATAGAGAGCTACAAGATGAGTATTGGGTAATTGTCCAAGCCAAAGACATGATTGGTCAGCCTGGAGCGTTGTCTGGAACAACAAGTGTACTAGTAAAACTTTCGGATCTTAATGACAATAAGCCTATATTTAAAGAAAGTAAGTAAGCCTCTAAAATTTTAATTAAAAACATAAATATAAGTGTGTTGAATATAGGCAGATCATACAGTTTGCATTCTGAAAGCACTGCACTAATACTGGAATTACACAAAATAAATTAGGTAATTGTTCTAAGAGGTGATTATTATTGTTTGCATAAAAACTAAAGTCAAAGAGTAATGTGTTAGTTTGACAGAAACATCATTGCTTAAAATAAATGTATTATATTAAAGAAGTCTAGAACGGACTTCTGTTGACCCCAGGGGAGAATTCATTTTCCTTGATTGTTTATTTGATTTGGGTAGAATTTGGTTCTTTGTGTTTGTGGGATTGGGGTCTCTATTTCCTTGATGTAGCCCACAGATCTCAGAAGCATCAGCGGGTATCAAACACTTCTCAAAGTCATATCTTCCAACCGACACTTTTGCCTCTTCTACTTTTAAGAATTTATGTGATTAGGTTGGGCTGTTTTGAACAAATCAGGGTAATCTCCCTGTCCCAAGGTCAGATGATTAACAGCCTTAATTCCAAATGCAACCTACTTCACTTTAGGCCACATATTTATGTGTTCGGGGAAATGAATACATACGTATTTTGTACAATTATCCTTCTGCATACCACAGGTAACGATTTTAAGTGACTATTTAATATATATATATATATATATTTGTGCTATAGGGTGCATGGTACTCACTAAAGAGAGAAAGACAGAGAGAGAAAGTTAGAAATCACCCCCACACCCCCAGGGAGGATGGCCATGCTGCTGAAATCCCTTCTCCTCTTTTCTCCTGTCTGTATTTTGGGCACACAAGCACACATCCTTGGCATGATTTTCAAGCTGCCAGGCCTGGAAGTTGAACCACCATCTGCCATGTGGGTACCTTAACCACCACTCTACTTGTGGGCCCCTAAATTTTTTATTTTTAAATTTTGTAGCAATAATAGGCCATATCTTTTCTGATCATTTAAATAGTATATGCAAGTTGAATCACATAATACACTTCATTTGAAATTTTTTATAGCATTCTAGAGAATTCCTTTTTAAGGGACTCTGCCTTAGCTACAGAAATACATCTATAAGTATTTCCAGAAAACATGAGTAAACATTATAATAGGGAAATTTGATCTACATGGAAAAAAGAAAGAACACAAACATTTCTATAATGTGCATATGTGTGTCCATGTATGTGTGTGTGTATATGTATTTATTTTCTTATATAGTCTCAGTGATAACATGATTCCCCTTTATTTTAAAATTTTATCTTTCCCTCCCATGAGTAAGCAAGAGAGACCTCACTCCCAACAGGTCCTTGACAACGCGTCCCACCTTGAGCTTCAGTCGCCCTAGGTTATGTGCCTATTCATGACTGCTTTCTCAGGACGCTCAGCAGAACCTTCCCATGAGGGATTATCTCACAGAGCCTCATGGTTTACTGCTGGGTCTCCATCTGTCCCTGATGGCACAATTTCTGCAATACTGATAGACAAAAACAACTCTATCACTATCTTTTGATAGATATTTCAACCTCCTTTTCAGTGTCTTGCCCTTTTCTTCAAACTCAACTGAAATCATAGTTATTTTTTATGGGCCAAGTGAAATGTCACTTTTACTGATTTCCGTTTGGTAGATCAATGCATGTATCAGCACAGACATTTCAAAACAGATTTGTAAATCCTGGTTTTGCCATTTACTTTGTATACATACTTAAGAATCTCTGTTAATGTGTGCACATACACACACGCACACACACACACAGGAATGTACACAGCTAAATGATGAAAATACTACTAGATGTAGACAATTTTTACCAGGCTCATGGTTATCAGGTTTCTGACTTTTCAAGAAACAGTACAAACCCAGATTTTTATTTCCTCAGTATAATCGGATTTTATATTGTGTTATTTTTTTTAAAAAAATGCTGTTGGGACCAGCAGATGACATAATGGTTATGTAGCTGGAGTCCCACATAGTCGACCATGGTTCAAGTCCTGGAATCAGTGGTTTAAGACTCATGCTGGCTTGGGACCAGCAGTTAGTGTAATGGCTATGTCGCTGGACTCCCACGTAGTCGACCACAGTTCGAGTCCTTGACCCGGTGGCTTAAACTCACGCTGGGCGCGTGTGTGTGCGTGACCAAGATCCCAAGAGGAGAATGGAGGAGAAGGGATTGTGGCGTGGCCATCCCCCTGGGGGGTGATTTCCTGCTTCCTGTCTCTCT